TCAGGAAACCAACAAGGAGCGTGGAAGGCTCCTCACACTTGCGTCACTAGGCGCATTGTCCACAGACAGGCAGCGAGCAGCAGCTAGGGTTGTAGATACCACACACATCATAAAGCGCGGAATCATCCGCAAGCCATGCGATCACACCCCACTGCTCAAACACTACAAGCCCAGAAAGGGATGTCTTACCACTGGTAGTCGCAAGCCGGCACCGCCCCCAGAGCTTATAACCTCCAACGCCGTTCCCCCCATCATTGTTGCTCCACAGCCAGTGCGTCCCCTTCCCAACTTTGTTAAGGTCAACACACATGCACGACCCATTCGCCCTCTTCCATCCAAAGTCAGGCCCACCCTCCACATCGAAACACTCAAGAAGCAGGTCTCCGCTACCCGCTTCAGACTACAACCGATATTAGGAGCATTCTGGGAGAGAATTGATCAGGACAAACGAAAGAAGGTACAACTCCTCGCATCAGAGTTAGACAAAGTCTGCGCAGACCTCTACACGGGAACTCACGAATACACCTTCGTCGACAAACAGGTCATCAACACATGCTGCCTAGAAATAGGAAGGATCAACTTCAAGGAGATAGGAAAGCAGCAGAGGTTAGACGAGATCGTCAGGGAGATTGGGAAAGTCAAGGACAAGCAGTACCTAGGCTTCATTTTCAATTAGTTTAACTACATCTATATCACAATGGAAGGAGCCGATCGTGCATACGCATCCACGTTCAGGCAAAGAATGGATGATATTCTGCATACAAACGTCGAGTCAGCACACGATGGAAGCACCCCACGCGCCTCACAGCGCAATTCACCAGAACCTGCACTAGGACCACAGGATTCTGCATTGCAAGTTGGAGGACCAGCGTCCCCAACCCCATCACTCTTACCCGCCTATGTTCCCCCCATCTGGGAATTCGACGGACACCAGTTCGAGCATCTAGAAGATGCACTCAGACAGTCCGCTCCTGGAGAAGTCCTAGACCACATCCGCGAATGGGTTATTGTGGCAATGAAGCTCATGGTCAGTACCGAAGTCGCCAAGGTCTACAATGTGCTCAGAAACAAGATGTACGAGCACAAGAAAGCCTTCGAGTCGCTGATCCAAAATAACAAGAGCGAACACCGACTCAAGGAGAGAATGCTCCAGACGGAGATTGGGAAGCTCAAGGATAGGATCCTCGCGCAAGATGCGCATATGACAGTTTTGAACGACGAGCTCACGGGAACCCAGGCAGCAATGCTCGATACAGGCAAAGAAATGATGGAAATCAAGGCAGCTAACGTCAAGCTGCGACATGAGCTAGCTTTGCTCAAAGCAAGCGATGTCACTGTGATGCAAGGTCAAACATCTGGCATGGTCCAATCGCACAAACCCCGCATCAAAATTGCTGAGCCTCCACACTACTCGAGCAAAGGAAGTCTGGAGGATTGGCTCCAACAACTCGGTATATGGATGCGGTGGAATGAGATCAATGACGACGAGCACAAGATCACCACGGCCCTGCTGCATTTAGAAGGTGGCGCGTCACATACATGTCCGAATATGCGACCAGAGCAGCAGCACGGCAGGCACTTGGCACATGGGAAGACTTCGTCAACATTCTCAAAGTGAACTACAGAACCCTCGACCCGGACAAGGACACGCAGCAGCATCTGAAGGATATCTGTGACAAGACGTATCCCACGATGGTATCCTTTGCAGAACAGTTCTGCCAATGGGCCACTAAGACCAACTTAGGGCACACTGCACTCATCGGTTACATCGCTGAACACCGAAGCAAGGACGTACGCCAGGCAATGGTCACACGAGACAGTCTAGGAATTTCTGACCCCATCACATGGCCAGAATATCTCGACCTATGCCTTCAATAAGAGTCCAAGTTCAGAGCTGACAAGGCAGGACAACGCGGAACGGTTACAACATCATCATCATCAGCACCACGGGCCCCGAAAGACCCCAACGCAATGGTTGTGGATCGAGTATCCACCCTCACCAAGGAACAAGAAGGATGGCTGGAGAAGAAGCTGTGTGTATGATGTGGGAAACACCCCTTCATTTTTAAACAGCGATGCCCAGACCCCAAGTACAAAGGCAAATTCGAAATGCCAAAGCGGGGTCAAGCAACAAGGGCAATTTCTTCAAACATGGCCTCAGACATCTCCGACGACAGCAAGGTGAGATATGAAGCAGTCCGTGCTTTCATCGCCACCTACGACGTGAAGGGAAAGGAAAAGGAGGCAGAACCGGAACCAGCTGTCGAAGCAGCTAGGATCACGGAGGTAGAAGATGATGAGGATTTTCTTCAGCGGGTTCTCTGAGGTCTGGCCAGAGTTCCCATAGACACTGTAATAGTACCTACTCGCTCTCGCATGTACCAGTATCAAGTTTTTTATACGTCGCATCTACTGGTTCGTCAAAATACGCGATCGATTTACCTGTTCACCTCAAACAGGGAGTAAGGGAAGTCCAGACTGAGGTGCTCCTCGATTCAGGAGCATATTCTTGCTACATCAACCCACGGCTGGTTGATCAGTTGAATCTCGCTACGATCTCACTTGAGAAGGAGATCAGGGTTTACAATGCAGATGCATCTCATAACAAGGGTGGAACCATTAAGAAAAGGGTTCTTCTGAGTATAACCATCGGAAACCACACAAGCAGGCAAAGCCTTTTGGTCACCGATA